AGATGTGTTAGAGTTGATGCTGTGCATCTGACTGGGGGCCATGAGTCCGTAGCCTTGTATGCCCCAAATGGTCCAGAGTGCCAGAGCATATGCAGATTTGTTTTGTAGATTAGTGTGGAGACACTGATCTCTTCCTGCTGCCTATTTCAGGGCAAGTTTTACATCTGGACAGCTTGTATGACAACCACTAAGTTTAGAAGCAAAGGACTTAAAGCTGGTAAGGTTAGCTCTATAAGGTCTGTCTACCATCAAGGAAGTCATTCCTGGGACAGAGTGGAGCAGGCTCCCAGCCCAAGCAGCAGATCACCTGCCTAATGAAGAATGTGATTTGGTTTCCCTGTGCATTGAGAAAACAGGTGCTTGGCATGGAAAGTGGCACTCCTTCCCTTCTCCTCTTACTGAAATCATTGATGATGCCATGTCTGAGACTGTGCAAGTCACTGAGGTGTAACTCAGGTACTGCCCCAGTCTGTGACTTGTCATGTTGAATTGCTTTTCTACAATAGAATAATTAGGACTGATTCAGCACCTGATATCCTGAGCCTTATCACGGTGGATTTCGGACTTCAGCATGGCTTGAACTATACCACTGTGCTCCTAATAGTGCTCAGCACAAAACTGGCTCATAAATGGAGTGACTGACATTCTCTTGGAGCAATATAAGCAGCATCTCTATAAAGGAAATGTTTAACATTTGGTGTCATTAAGCCATGAACTTTTGCAAACTTTAAGACATCTGACTTGGAGGGTTGCCTTTGGCTTCCTCATCTCAGTATTAAAGTGTACTTGGTTCATTAAGAGAAAATTTCTAATGAATTCTCTAACTTCATGTGAATATCTGGCAACCAGATGAATGTTGCTTCACAGTAACATGATTTATATCTTTGACACTTCAGTCTTTGCATGAAAGTGACATCCTCCAAGGAAAATAGCTTGTTTCAGAATAACATTCTGGGTTTGGAGAAAGATTTTTATTTTGCTGTTTCAAAATAGATTGGAAACACATGAAGAGATTAAGATATGCATAAGAGAGTAGAATAGGCATAAAAGTGCTTCCTGCAAGAATGATGGTTGTACTTTGTAGGGCCAACTGCTGCTGAGAAAACAATTGTTAATGTAATTGTTACAAATTACAATATAAAACAATTCTTAGAATTATGAAGCACTGTGTTTATTTTATTTTTTTTATTACAGAACTACCAATTAAACTTCCCTTTTCTACAGTAATTCTGTAGTGAGAGACTTTGATTTAGGGAAATCCCACTACAATTCACCCAGTGAATTTATTTTTTTCATTATTTAGCCAGGGGTGTGGGTGGAAGTTTCTCCTTAAAGAGAGAAGGATGAAAGCCATTAGAACATTTTAAAATGTTATCAGATGTAACTAGGGGAAGAGGGAAATATCCTGAAGAGTCAGATGCAAGCCCTAGGTAAGTGGCGTACAAAGTGGAAATCACTGAAGCAAAAAATTGAGGCTGAAAAGCTCTTCTGGAGAAATATATCTCCTCTTATGCTTCTGCCTAAAAGTCCTTTTAACTCCACTATGTATTGCTAATACAGGGAGACACCAGCCTGTGTGTACAACAGAAAAACCCTTGAAAATGCTGGCGCTTTCTTAACAACAGTGTCAACCCCTCCTCTTTAGGCACCCAGTCTGGTTTTAGCAGTGACTTAGCAGATGAGTCCCAGACCTGCGGACTGATTCTTGGCAACCTCTGTGAGGTATTAATGCTTTTGATCCAGTCAAGAGCTGCCTCTGAAGAACAACTGGGGGTAGGTAAGGGTAAAGTTTCCTTCTTTCCATTGGTTACATGGAGATTTTGGGCAAACTTCAGGCAGGGCCAATGTGTTAGGAGTTGCCCAAATCTGGTAACCTGATAGAGATGAATCTGCACCACCCCCCTAGGTGCATTCCAAGTAGGCCCATGTACACACACATACACACATACACATGTGCGCATAGGTAAACACACACACAAAGATACTCTGGATCCCAAGCAGCTAGGCTTAGGCATTCCATCTATCCAGCAGATGCCCTGGGATATGCTGCTGTCCCCTGTTGACTCAGGCACACACACATAAGGATCTCTCTCCACTGACCCCAGTTCCCACAGCCTCCCTAGCTGCTGTTCATCAATGGCCAGCCCACAGAACCCTGGTCTCTCCAGTGTTCACCCCTGGCTTAAGGCCACTTTTGTTCCCAGCTCCCAACATCCTACCCTGCTCACTGGCTCATTCAACTACAGTGCTTGCACACATACATATGTACCCAGTTGACATGCATGCACCCCAGTCACTCCAGTCATAGCACCACAGACACAGGGGCCTCCAGCCTCTGGTCCCATCCCAGGGGCTGTCACTGAGATCCTCAACACACACCTCTGCACGCAGGACAGAGTCCTGGCCCTGGAAAATAGCTATAATTGAAAGGCCAGGACATACTGTGCCAGTCAGGTGCAGGAGCGAAACTAGGGTCCCACAAGCAAAGTATAGACACCTGTTGGCACTTAGTAAAAATTCTCATGTATTTTGAAGGGTCTCAGTTTCCTTTTGGCATATTCATATCTCCTTCTGTTGGGTTTTGAGGGTTTTTTGTCTGAAGGTAAGTGCTTGAAAAGGAGATGATGGCAATGTTCTAGCTGCTGTACCATGGGAAGAACAGATGAATGAAACCTCTTCTTCCCTCATTCAAGGGAGATGTGCCGAAGAACACGCAGTAGAAAGCCAAAGCAGATGGTGAAATGTGATGTGACTTTGCAGCCCAACACTGTGGAAATTCCCAAGAAGGAGAGAAGCCACTGCTTCTGCTTCCTCTTCCTGATTCTGTTTAAGTTTTTTCACTTGATGACTCTTCAAATGCATAAACAGCTCCCACTTTCTGTTCCTGCCTTGGAAAGTAATTTATTTAAAGTTTCCTGGAAAACAAGCAGATGTCCCCTCTCATGCTCTGCCTGACTCAATATCCTCTTGGTCACATTAAAATTTGGCCCTAGACCCCTTGCAGAACTGTGCAAAGCAGCAGAACCTCTCTGTGCAAGCCACCACACATGAATTCCTGTCTTTCCCATCTCGACCACCAGACACATTTGTTTAATCTGCATCTCTTCTCTTCCTGTGTGTTTAAACATGCCTATGACACCTTCAGAAAATTAAAGAAAAAAGGACAGAGGAAATAAGGAGTTAACTACTCCTTAGGAAAAAAAAATAGGAAGAAGAAAATTCAGGCATTGAATCAGGATCTATAAAAAACAGACTATAGAAACACACAAAGGAGAAATATTTACAGGGAAATAACACTACTTCAGAGACAGAGTTAGAGAAGTAAGGTAACAGTTCACAAATCTCAGGATCATGTGAGCTGTAACAGAGACTTTGGAGAAGTATTCAACACATGATTCTTTTTGTTCATATCCAAAAGTCCGGGTGGATTAAGAATAATCAACAATGAATCACAGAATCACAGAAGGGTTGAAGTCGGAAGGGACTGAGTACTCCAATGCTCAGTCGCTCTCACAATAAAGTTCTTCCTCATGTTTATGTGGAACTTCCTGTGTTTCAGTTTGTTCCCTTTGCCTCTTGTCCTACCACCTGGCATGCTCTCCTCATATATCTTGACACCCTCCCTTCAGATACTTACATACATTAATCAGATCCCCCCTGAGACTTCTCATCTCTAGGCTGAACAGACACAGTTCCCTCAGCCCTTCCTCATATAAGAGATGCTCCATACCCTTAATCATTCTAGTATCCCTTCACTGAACTTGTTCCAGGAGCTTCAGGTTTCTTTTGTAAAGGGAAGCCCAGACCTGGACACAGTACTCCATATGTGGCACTACCAGGGCAGAGAGGGAGGATTACCTCCCTTGACCTGCTGGCAATGCTTTGCCTAATGTAGCTCAGGTACCATTGGCCTTCTTGGCCAAAGGGCACGTTTTGCTCACTCATGGTTAGCTTGATATCCACCAGCACCCCCTAATGCTTCTCTTCAGAGCTGCTTTATAGCAGGTCAACCCCTAACCTGTAGTGGTGCTTAAGGTTATTTCTCCCTAGGTGCAGTACCCTACACTTGCCTTTGCTGAACTTCATTAGGTTCCTGTCCATTCACCTCTCCAGCCTGCCCAGGTCTCCCTGAATGTTAGCACAGCCTTCTGATGTATCAGTGACTCTTCATATTTTTGTATCAACAAGCCTTCTGAGGGTACACTCTATCTCTTCATCCTGTATTGAGCTCCTTCAGAGCAAAACTTGCTCATATATCAGAAAAAAAATTATAGTGGTACATATTTGTATTTCTCCCTAACATTTATGTTTTCCCTTTTAAGATTTCCAAGGAGACTTTACCTCCAACAAGAACCATGCCAAAAAACCATTCTGAAAAATGTCCTTGACAGCTTCCAGCACCAGCAAATATGCAGCCATTTCAGACCATCTCCTCTGGTACTTAACTGTCCTTCCAGTAAAAAACATTCTCCTCTATTTAGGGGTCTGCACGGCAGGTTTCCATATGTGTCTGGGGTATATAAACTCTTCTTACCGTTGGCAAAGGCCTATCCAATACAGTCAATGAAGTATAAAGAGCAATTCTTCTCATCTTCAAGTCCAAGTCATATGGTCAGTTGAATCACTCTGTAGAATCCATTGTCCAAAATGGGAGCTTAGAGACCTAAATAACTTATCTACATGATGAAACACTTAAAACTCATTCCAGCTCATTACTCATTTGCCTATACTTGAGACACCCACCTGGGACTGGCTGCCATGACACAGGAGCTATGCATTCTTCCAGGGCAGCTGGAGGTCAGGTAGGATTCTCTTCGGCATCTCAAATAGCACTAATGCTCAGGCAGCTGAATCCCAAGCCTCATGTCTAACCTTAATCACTGTTGTTTAAGATCATTCTAAAGTCTTGGAGACTGCTTCCCTTTAGGAAAAACCTTTCATATATGTAACAGCATTTGTCATGGTTCCACTCACTCTTCTTTCAGTGAACAGTCTACTTTAGTCTTCCTACTCCAGACTCACAGAAATTCCTGGAGTCCATCCAGCCACAGCTCATCCTCTGACTGGATCCCAACACCCTATTGCAGCTGAGACGCTATCCATTCTGACAAGATTAAAACCATTATTTTACTTACCATGCAAATGGGAACCCAGTTTATGCATTGCAGGAAAATCACTGAGTTTTGCTAGCATCAGTAAAAAAATGCTGAATAACTTTCATACTCAGTTTTTCTAGCATTGTAAGATTGTTTTAGATACAACTATAAGTTAGCTGATGACACCCCTCCTGGAGTTATGATACTGATTATTCCTAGATAAGATCAGCTTTCTGTACTAACTTTTACATTTTATTATTACATATTATGACATGATATGCTATATTTTGTTAAATAGTAAAAAAAAGTATCATGTCTATAGCATAAAGTTATTAATTATAATATAATATGTAATTTTACTGTTATGTGTTATTTCCTATCATTTTGCTAGTTTGTCAAGACTTTGTGCTATTAATAGTCTAAATTAATGAATAAAAAAACCCTGTGAAATGTAGCACCATGTTTTACCTGAAAAGCATTTCTTTATTTAATAAACAAACTACAAAATTGCCTGAAACAGAAGGTTCAGGCAAAATAAGGACAATAACATTAGTTAAACATATTGAGTCACTACCTGATGATGAAACTATCATGCATCATTTTTGCTAATCAGAGGATGTTATGCAACATGAGTCAGACTGTCACTGATCTACAAATTAGCTATATAAACAGAGCTGAGAAGTGTGTTCAATAGCTTAAGACTGAAACTGTGGCAGAAAACCTTAGTCGAGGATGAAGACCCTTTCTCTTCTCCTGTTGCTATATTTGGCTGTCTCTGCTGCTTTTCCTGTGGCTCCAGAAGCAGAAGATGAAGGTAAAACCCTACAGCTTGTGGAGGTAAGTATCTTTTAGTGCATTTCTAAGTTAAACATAAGGTAGTCTGAGAGACAACTACAATTGCAATTCTTGTCGCAGAATATGGCTTGAAAGTAAAAATCTGCCATTTTGCAGAGACAAAGCTTTTCCTGTCAGTCTAGAAAACACATGAAAATTATGTGGAACTTATTTACACAGAAGTAATCTGTATATTGAACTACTTCATTTTTGATGCTGTCAGTAAAGTAATAATAAAACTACCAAAGAATGAACTCTAGCAGCAAGGGTATGTGGCTGTGCAGAAATAGTCAAACTCAGCAGCAATTCACGTTTCAGAATGTGCTTTGAAACTTGTGACATGATTAGTCTCAGTAACATAAGGGGGGAAAGCTGCTTGAAGCAGGGATGTATTTCAACCTTTTGCTGAGTAGATCTTCTATGGAATAGTTTATAAAAAAGGACATTTGTGAGAAAACCTTACGTAGACACAACACTATTTACTGGAGACAAAAACGTTGAAATTTAGTAGGAAGACCTGAGTTCCTGATATCATATTTAGTAGCAAAAAATAAATGGCATGATTTCCAAATGCTGACTGTTAGGTAGTAGTCACTTGCTTTGTTGGGAGTCCTGGCTGTGTGGAGTCTCACTGCCAATCTCTATTTCCTTGAGTGAGACCAGCTATAAGTTTCCTCATAAGTTTTGTTGTTAGAGTAACTAGGCAACGTAAAAAAATATGGAATTAATTATTAATAGTAAATATTGGATTTTAAATACATTTTTTCCTATAAGTGAAACAAGAAATTCAGAAAACTGTATGACAGCTGTAGGTTGTGTCTGACTCTTCACACAAATTCCTGGGAAAAAAAGTGCTATTCTTGCTCCTGGTAAACACAGGACATGTTTATATGGGAATAGTTCAAGATCAATTTTAAGTGTGACTGAAGACAGTACTGATATGCCACAATGATCATTTTTAATCTTTCATTCAGAATTATCTACGGAATTTCTACGATCTTCAAAGGGATCACCAGCCTCATTTAAAAAACAAGGGTGAAAATCCCCTTGTTGCAAAGCTCAAGGAAATGCAGGCATTCTTTGGACTGCAAGTGACTGGGAAACCTGATCTTGACACTTTAGAGATTATGAAAAAACCTAGATGTGGTATACCTGATATAGGGCAATACGTGTTCACAGCAGGGAATCCCAAATGGAAAAGAAATAATCTGACATACAGGTAACCTTTCTTTTTCTGGTTCAAAAAGGTGTAAGTCTAGCATTCCAACTTTGGGAGCTCCCAAGTAAACACATCATGCCATATTTGGACATCTAGAGTGATTAACTGATTTCTGGAAGACAGACACTCTAGAAGGCAGCATCTAAAATGAAGCCGTTATTAATTTTCATTCATGAAAGATATATCTACGATTTTCAATTTTTACATAAGTTATTATTTTTTCAGCTAAAATGTTGTATTCCTAGCAATATATAGTATGTCGGGTTTGCCTTGAAGGATTTTGAATTACACTCCAAAGATGAGACGAGCTGATGTAGATGAAGCAATCAAAAAAGCTCTCAGTGTCTGGAGCAATGTGACACCACTGACATTCCGGAAGGTTGAGGACAAAGAAGCAGATATAATGATCTCTTTTGCTTATAGAGGTAATATTGGTATCTTTATGCATTAAGTTGACGTCTGCAGTCATAGAAGTAATTTAGGATTCTGAGGGATTTTTTTCTCTTCATTTTAGATCACCGTGACAACTCTCCTTTTGATGGCCCCAATGGGCAGCTGGCTCATGCTTTCCAGCCTGGTGAAGGTATTGGTGGAGATGTGCATCTTGATGAGGAGGAAGCCTGGACAAAAGATGGAAGAGGTAAGGACTTTGTAACTGGATCAGTTTACAGTTTCACCTCGTAAACTCTTAACTCATGTGATGCTTAGTTCGTGAGTCTGATTACAAGCAGAAAGTGAGCAAAACTAGCAGAAAGCAGAAATTGTCCTTGGATTTTTTTGGCCAGACATTTTTTAAGTATTCATATAGATGTTCTGCTACAATATTTTTGAGTTGTGATGTTGATAGCATTACTTACAGCCTCCCTTATACATGGAATGTATTTTGGGAGGATGCATAGATGTTTCCCGCTTAATCAACTGTATTCTGGGAGGATGCATAGATGTTTCCCGCTTAATGAACTGTGGTGAACACTGAAATAGATTTACCTTGTTTCATATGATTTTTATCCTACAGGATACAATTTATTCATTGTTATTGCCCATGAGCTTGGCCATTCACTCGGTCTATCTCATTCAAATGATCCTGGAGCACTGATGTATCCAACTTACTCCTACACGGATCCTAATGAATTCCTTCTTCCTCAGGATGACATTGATGGCATTCAAGCCATCTATGGTACGAAAAAAATATTTCTATTTAATATCTCTAACTGGGAGGCTGGTAAACACTAATAGGAATATATTTAAAATTTTCTTATTCCACCAAATGTGAAGTTTAATTGTTGCTGAACTATGAATGACGAAAGAGAAAATTCCTGGGAGATAACTTCAGCTGAAGTCCAGTCCTGCAAAAAACTTATTTTGGAAAGGATGAACACAACAGGTTTTATCAACATTAAAGGTCTGCTTTTAGTGACAGATTTTAGCTGAAAACCATATACCTTCTCATTGCCTGTAAAGAGGGCTCTTAGTGTGCTCATAGACCTTCTGAACACTATATTTCTTCATACTGAAAGATAAAATATTCTTCCTATAGGACAGTCAAATGCTGCTGTGCAGCCGACAGGACCCATAACTCCACAAGCTTGTGACCCAAATTTGACATTTGATGCTATTACTACCCTACGTGGAGAAATAATATTCTTCAAGGGCAGGTAACAACAACAAGCATATGTATTATTACATTAAAATATTCAGCAGTTTTAAAAAAATCTGTAATCCATGATGCAAAACTGTCTTTTTAGAATGTAGTGCAAAGAGAAGGGAATGGAGTAGAAAGAGTCGCTAGAAAACGTATTTAAACAAGCAAGAGATCTCAAATCATTAATCCTAAGAGCCTTTGCTGATGAGAGCAGTGAAGGAAATGAGGGCTTGTAGGCTGTTTTCCAGCTCTTCTGCTGCTGTGGCCACTGCTGCAACAGACTTGTCTCTGAGTGCATTTCAACTCATAGCAAAGCAAGAACATTCATATATCCCTTAGCAATGGGTTTGTGGGTCCCACACTTTAACCTTTCCACTATTCCCCAGTACAAGAGCAGGGATAGAACTGAAAGCTGTGTCACATAGAAAGACATCTGTTAGGCGGTTACTGAAACCAGCTCTTTGTCTGCTTGTCCTACAGAGAAACAGAAGGGCTTATATTCATTTTGCCTGATTTTAACTAAGGTGCTAAAATTAAGAGTGTGGTCACTGTAAATTTCCTTTACATTCAGTGGAGAGGTTTTTCACACTTAGGTACCCTTCTCCCTCTGTTATACTCCAGGAGCTCTAATAATTATTTTGCACTTATGATTGGATAAATTGCATAAATTTTGTTTAAATCAGATATATGCTGCGCAAACATCCCACAAGGACAGCGACAGAGCTCAATTTTATCTCACTGTTTTGGCCAAAGTTACCATCAGGAATTCAAGCTGCTTATGAAAACGTTGAGAGGGATGAAGTTTTACTTTTTAAAGGTAATGAAATCTGAAATCCTCTACTTTTTCTAACCGGTTACTCCCTGCTCCTTTGCAAACTATACAGTTGCAGAATTCAAGGTGTTTTTAAAGGAAGATCAGTGAAACAGAGAATCTAGTTCTCTTCATTTCTAGTTCCTCTTAAGCTCTAAAATATGTCACTTTATGCAGAAGAAATTGTGGTGAATCCAGTTAGCAAATACAGGCATTTGTACAGTACTGTTACTGATATGCTTATTAGTATTTTGTGATACTTTGACCAAAAAAAAAAAAAGCATGTTCACTGAAAAAACAGTCAATCCTTTCCTTTCAAGGTGTTAAATGTCTCAACTTCATTATGCACATATTACAGTACCTGATACATTACAGTACACAATATATTACTATTTCTGAGTATGTTAGAGTATCCAAAATTACAAAGCATTTTTATTAGATATATGCCCTTCTTAATCGCTTAATTTAATGCACATTGTCTAGTTTTCAAAATATTATATGGCTCTAAAATCAAATAATATTATAGGAATCTAGTAAACTCAGTATCCCAGACCAATATGAGTGGACTAGCTCATCAGCCTCCAGCCCTCCCCAGGTTGTTACCTAGACAAATACTTTATATTCATTTGGAAAAAAAAAGTGGTAAAAATACTATCCATACACCTTACGATTCTAATGTTTTACTCATAAAGCTAAAAGACATTTCCATTACCTTCATGATGTAGTTCCAATGAAAGAATTAGAACCATTTTCTAAAGTAATAAACTGAAAGGGATAATTCTGATGTCTAAGACACCCAACTCCTTATCTAATACACAATTAAATGCTCTTTATAAATAGCAAAACCAAATGAAATGTGCTTATATTTTTCAGAGGATAAATATTGGGTTCTCAGGGGATATGACATTGCACCTGGCTATCCTAAACCAATCTATCGTTTGGGGTTCCCGAAGACTGTCAAACGAGTTAATGCTGCTTACAGTGATGAAACCACAGGAAAAACATACTTCTTTATAGCTGACAGATACTGGAGGTAAGATTTTAATGTTCGTATACTAAAAGGTATATTTTCACTTGTCCCTAAGAACTGATGTATTACTATAAAATTCGAGTGTAGTAATGTTTAAACCAGGAATATTCCAGAAATGTAAACAGGATTCTCTGAAAGTTTAAAAATTGCAACAATTTGCTATGAAATGTAACTTTTTCAAAGGACATTTTTCCCTATATATTTGTGCCAGGAGTGTAATTATTTGCAATGGAATGAAACATATGCTCAACTACAGAGTGACTTTTCTGGTAAATTATTCCTTTTTTTTTTTTTTTTCCACAACAGTGGAGCTGCTTTTCAGTGCAATGTTGTGAAGGTGTCCATGTTTTATTCACATTTCAAACAAAATGGATTGGTAGTAAAAAGTGTTAGAATTTAATTTCTCTATGTGATTATAATTGTCCTCCAATTGTACAGTTGGTCATATTTATAATTCAAGTGTAGCCCGTGACAAATTTCAGAGATTGATTTTGTTTAACTATATGGTTGACACTAATACATGTATGTTTCAGGACTGTGCTACTGTCTTATACTCCCAAGTTATATGTTTTGCTTTTATACTGAACTGGATATCCATTACTCATTTTATGTGCAAGTGATGCACAAGGCTCTGGTCAGTCCAGAAAGGCATTAATGAGTTCCTGGCCTGCATTCCCAAGGTCTGTGAGACCCTTCTTTTAGCAAAGGCAGGTTTTTCGAATCTCAGGATACTCATAATGTGAGAACCTTAATACATAACAGGAAGAATCAAAAAGGTGCATTAACTATTCTTTATAAGACTTCTTAGTAACCATAGAGTTGCATACGTGTATGAATTTGCTTTGGACTTTCAAAATACTGTCTGCTTCCTCACAAATTGTAATGATGTTTCCTCTGTTAAGATATGATGAAAACAAAAAATCCATGGATCATGGTTATCCCAGGAAAATAGTCTCCGACTTTGGAATAACTGGCAGAGTTGATGCTGTTTTCCAGAAAGGTGGTGAGTAAAGCATACCTTTAATCTAGGTTTACTTGAATATTTGAGCCTCTGTAGGTAGGATCATTTGTTTTCAAAAAACCTGTTATTAGTCTTAATGAGAAGGAAATTAAAAATAACAAGCATACATGGGCTGCTCATCTTGGGTTTGATTTTTTTTCCAAAATATTAAAAAGAAGTCACCTATGAAATATAACTGTATTAAACATTATTTCTAGGCTATGTCTACTTCTTCCTTGGAACAACTCAGTTTCAGTTTGATCCTCGTTCCAAACGGATTGTTGGACAAATGAAGAGCATCAGCTGGTTTAATTGTTAATTGTAATGTTTTTCCATATGCACAGTGTATGTTTTCATTTGCTAAATTTTTCAGCGTTTCAGGACAATCAGCTCAGGATGAATTTCTGCCCAAACTGTTTGGGAGCATAGCCTTATTTATTGTATACCAAAGATATTTATATAATGTATCACAATTTTACCTGCTATATTTAAGTTTCCTAATAAATTATGGTTTTCATATCATTGTGTCATTTATGTCTTATTTGCATAGTATTTTTATTAATACTTAAGAGCCAAGTCTAGCTTCCAAACACTAGAAAATGTATTCAGGAAGGAAAAGTCAGACCTTTTTCTCAAAGCCAGAGAAAGGAGCAGTCAGCTGGCTCTGATGCCCATCATCTCACACAAGGGCTGGTGAATATTCTGTGGGTAATTAGGCCAGTTGTGGTTCATTAACATCAGTCTACAAATCACCACTTTCTGATCCTCTTTCCCTAGCTTCTACTCTTAGCCTTCCCCTCAGGATGTATGTCTTTGGAACTGGGCCTTTTTGCTCATGTTTTGGGGTTTAGGAACTGAGTTTAAGCCTGGGAACGTAGATTAGAAAGGACCCCTGTGATTACTGAAACAAGTTCTTTGCTATCACACATAGCCACATCATATAACAGACAAATGAATCTCTTTGCTCAAAGCTCTTTCAAGTGCTTAATCCTCCAGTAGTTAGTAAATTCCTCCTAATTTCAGTGGGTTAAAGAATGAAAGTTTTTCTTTAAAAATTAAAATTCTTGGCAAAAAAATATTTTTGACACAAATGGTTCACGAAAAAAAAGCTTGACTTCCCTCTTAACTGCATTATTTCAAATATCCTAAATTAAAATAGTGTTTGAAAGGTTATTCACTTTCTCTTTAGTCTTTGTAGCTCGGCTGATAACACTAAAAGTCATGTGACCAAACAAAAATGTGCTATCTCTTACAACATCTATATTATTCTGAACACTTCAGAGGAAGGTTTCAGCTTTCTGTAATAGAACTAACTGTATTTTGTGGAAAGAATGTGTAACCTTAGAAAAAGACATGTCTGTTCAGTTTTCTTCATTACTTAGCTGTCTGTATTAGAAGTCTGTTGAATTTGATTCTTCATAAAGAATAAGCTTGGTAGTTTTTACTTTTATTAAATTCAGGAGTAAAAATTAGTCTACATACTATCCAACGATAAGAAAATGTATGATTGAAAATTAACCTGAATAGATTATATTCTTTGTAAAACTTAAAAAATTATAAAATAATAAAAAAATAAATTAAATTATAGTGCATCAAAAGCTTTAATGAAGAAGGTAATTTATGTGAATCCTGTTCTCACAAGGTGATATAGATACCAGTTCTTTAATTCAAAACATTAGTAGCAATTCTATTTAACAATATTTTCTTGTGTAAGCCAGTGCTACTGAACTACCAATGATAAATCAAAAATTGGTTTAGAAGCATATAAATCTAAATTGATTATACTGTTATAGCAGAGAAGGTCTACAAACAGTAGACAGGGAAAGATACTATTTCTTATTAGACTAATTAGATATTAAAAAAAAATGAAAATTGAGGACACATGTTCTCTTCAGATATGAAGCAAGAGCAGAAGGTCTCAAGACAATGCCAAAACAGCTCTTCAGACTTAGAGTACATTAATCCCTCTCTACACAAAAATAGTAATGAGTACTCATGGAGCAGAAATAGTGCTAAATGGAAGAAAAGGGTTAAGGAGATGGTTATGTTTTGGAGGAAAGAGAGATAAAGTGTAATTTACAAACTATGGAAGGTGAAGAAGTTAAAGAGAAGATTAAGCTTATAATGGCATATTTTTAGTCCATGCTTTTTGGTATTCTGTGAAGCTCTGATTTTTAGTTGCCAGGAACACTTTTTTTTAGCTTATTTTGTGGGTTTCCCTTAAACAGGAAGACAGAAAGTTCAAAATGAGGTGATTTCTTTGTGAGAAGTATTCCCCATACTTATGTGAGTGAAAATTTCCTTTGTCTGGGTGAGCGTGGGTATTACATCATCCCACACCATTAGGAGGAGGGCATGTATAGTTCTGACAGCTCTTGCCTGCCTGCAGGCACAATCACCACTTTAACTAATTTGGAATCTAAGCGTTGTTTCCAGCTCAGTCCACACAGTCACCTGCTGTTTTCTTACTCCTTTTTAATAACTTTAAGGTCCTATTTGCTAATTACTGTACTATGGCAGAGTACTGTAGCACTCCCTAGTGTCTGGTAACTGGTTTTGTGTGTAGTCATAGCCAATACAGTTATTAACTAAGACAGATTTGCCCAGGCAGGAATCCAATTTCCTAAACATGTTCGGTACATTTGGGGTGCTGTAGGGAATCCAAGTCACCCATGCAGGTATGAAATGGAGAGACCAGCTTCTGTGAGACCAGCACTTCCCAAAGTCCCATACAGCCTGTACTGTCCCTCAGCACCTATGTTCAGGTGGTTGAATCCTGTCCTCACAGGCTGAATTATTTGCTAAAGGTTTGCCAAGAGTCAAACACGTTATTTGAACTATTTGCCACTGGACCATGTTTTTCGCCTAAGCTGAGTAATGATTTAGCTTTGTTGACTCTATGGCAGGATTGAGCCTACAAAGTAGTGGTTCAGTTCAGCCGCTTGAATAAGTATCTAGTGCTGTTAATGTCCCTGAATATTTCCAGTTGGCCTCCAACTACCAGTCTAGAAGCCACATGTCCTCTCTATGTCCTAGGTCACAGCCACCAGGCCTGTGTCATTGTCTCAGATACTCTAGACTGCCTCTAAAGCACAACAAATCACTGTTTAGTCAGCTTAATTGCAGCCTAAGTGTTTTCATGTGATCTCAGGTTTAAGCTTTCTTCGTAGTCTATAGTGTTGGTCAAAATATTTGGTGAGCTCCTGAGAGCTGCACAAATCATCCTAAGTTTTTTTCCTACATATGGTCAGATGAAATGCTCTCTAGATGCCACTTGACCATATTGGTTAGATTTCTATTGATATAATGCAATTTTAGGCAGTTAATTCACATGCAGACACCCATGTTGTGAACACTTATGAAAGCTGGATCCCTGCTGGTGGCGTATTAGGATCACCACAATGCAGCAGTGTAATGTCAGTTGGTACTAGAGATGTGATGAGGAGAGGCAGTGACCTTTCTGGGTTAAAACACAGGTCACATTACTGTAGTCTGTATAAACCAATTCTAGGACAAGAAAGGAGTCACGAGGTAGATCAACATCCACCAACTCTAACTTGTCAAAGACAAGCATTATGAAACCATAACCAGCAGCTGCATATACAGCTTCTTCTTTTCCCAGACCTCAGGGCCAATTATAGGTCTACTTATGAAACATCACTTGCAAAAAAATGTGTTTAGGCCTCTCCCCCACGGGCCATGGGACCTGGCCACTGTGCTGTGTAGGTGGTCAAGTTTCAAAACCCTAATTGCATTTTGAGTGATATAGGCCCCCATCATCTGACACTCAAATGTCTTCTAAGCAAACACTAATGTAGCATGAACTGTTAACTGAAATTAGAAATGTAGTCTAAATTAGCTGCTTAAGCTTCTCTACATTCAGTGAAGACAGAGAACACCTATAGAGGCCAGTTCATCCTATTCTAAGATAGCTGGTTGAATCACTCTCCAGAGATACGTATTTATCCATTTTTCTATAGAAGAATGCTTAGCTAATAAATGTATGAATTTAGGTGCAACTAAACTTAATGTAACTGCTCTCATTGTCTCTATCCTTCCACTGCAAGACAGCAGACAGCTATGGGGACCTGATGGCCAACCACAGTTGAAAAAAGACAACCACTTTTCCCAGTTCAATCTGGGAAATCAATGCCTTGATTTTTTTTTCAAAATTCAATTCATATCAGCCAAAACATGTTTTCCAAATATATGCCATTGGAAAATATATTTGGTGCAAAAGCCATGGAATGGGGTTTTGTCTTTTGTTATTGATACCATATATATAGCACCGTGATCATAACTTCTAGCTTTAAAAAGTTTGAGACAAATAAATATATCCATTCAAAAATATGAAGTGGTTCTCAAAAAAGAAAGTCTGTATTTCTGCATAAACACAAGTCATTCCCATTTTCAGTTCAGCTGAGCTCTCCATCTTAGAAAAATCATTGTCACAGTTTTTATCTCAGTTACAGAACTGAAGAGGATCCAGATCTTACCTTACAATAAAGTGATAAAAGCAAATTAAGGGAAGTGTTCGGTTATTTCGTTTTTTGCTTGCTTGTGGCAACTTTGGTTTGGGGAGGTTTTGGCGGGGAGGGGGGGTGTTTGTTCTTGGTAGCTAATACCATTAATGAATAAATTAAACTAACCAGGCTATATTGTGAAATTTGGGGTAGAAAATTCATCATTAACACCTCCAGCTGGAGAAAAGTTGGCTGCAAGTGACAACAAAAAAAGCAAAAACTCAGAAGCAAGGATTTCCTGAAAAAGCCACAGTCCAACATGAGGGTATTTCTTACAACTGTTTTGTAAAAGTTGAGTACATGCTGTCAGAGCTTCTCTAAGGCACCAAACACCTTCAGCTCCAATTGCCACCAGTGGAAGAGGAAGGTGCTTGCCCAGCACAGGGCGAAATCCCATAATTTGTCACAGTTTGTGTAAATCCTGAAACTTCCTTTATTCTGAATTACTTAAGACAGGAAATAATCACATCCCCTGTGGCTAATGTGGTTAAACTGAAGAAACCTTTTGTAATGAAATGGCAGATAGGTAGGTAGGTAGGTAGGTAGGTAGGTAGGTAGGTAGGTAGATAGATAGATAGATAGATAGATAGATAGATAGATAGATAGATAGATAGATAGATAGATAGATAGATGCATACATAAATAAGTACTTTAGGTAAATGCAGACAGAGATATAAGATTATCCACATTCCTTAGGCTGGATTTATAGGGCAAAATCTTTTTAGTTTATCTGTATCTTGTTTTCCACCAGTTCCACCAGTATAACTTAAAGGGAACACACCTTTTCAAAGAATTGTAGGTAAGAGTTGG